CAACTTGTTATAAACAAGAAGTTTAGAACATCCTACGGTTACTACAAACATAACTAGATAATTCTGGAAAGTTACATAAGCTTTGAACAGATACATTTTATGAACATACTAACGAGGACTGAAGATTGGCCTTAAATCTGTACAATTCTGAGCAGGCAAAATAATTATCCATACCTAAACAATATATGTGGGTATGGTAAGGGAAAGAAAATTACATGGAAGAATGATATGAGGGTGAGTAAATAATTTTAATTTTAGGGTGAACTATCCCTTTAAGTCAACCGGCTCTTAACTTACGATAGCAGCGCACATCAATAGCATAGAAGTCCCCCTGTTGGTAAATCACCAGAACATCTCTTTCACCAACTGACTTCACCACTCGTCTGGCTTGAATTATACTCTCTTTCTTCCCTATGAAAAGAGTATATCTGGATGCAGCTGCCACATCTTCATCAGAGCTCATGTTTCCCCCCCAATCTTCTGACACTGTGAAATGGTCCAGAGGAGACAACGTCAGAAATAATAATAAAATAGACAGACAGACAGACAGATAGATGTGAGGCATGAATGTAAAATCAGGTATCCATGTAACCAGCACTCATAAAGAGATGCATCTCTTTTTTATGCTTTATTTGAACATTTAGTTTACAGTATGGAACAACAAATTTAAAACATAGCAGTAATTATTAAGATGAACAGAAATAGAAAGAATAGAAAAACATTTAACAAGCAATAGCTCAAAACCAACAAAAAAACTACTTCTACCGCAAAAAAAAAAATTTAAATATTGAAAATGTCTGTTGCCGGAGACTTACCATTGGCTGTTGTATTTGAATAATTAATGAGGTAGGTCTATTCAAGGTTTGTGCGCTGTTTTGGGAGTGTTTTTAAAGTCATTTATAAATATAATTACATTACATTAAGTTCCATTTTGTGTACTAAATGTATTCATGTGCATTATTGCATTATTATATAATTAATGCATTATATGACAAAAGCCTTCCAATGGGTTAAATAACCCATTGATTAGTTTTTGTAAATCCAGTGTTCAAATGCTGTGTCGCCCTTTATTTGTCTGTGTAGATTACAGCCGCTTCTATACTGGTCTTTATGTGGATATCCACAAAACTGAAAGACTTTCCGGGTGTATATAAGAAGTAGGATATTTTAGAAAGTACAATTTAAAAGATGAAACAGAATTAGGGGGAAGAATATAATATAGTATGAATAATAAAAAAAATGCAACCGCAGTCTGATTACCTGTGTTTGACATTTATTTCTCAAAACGTGATAATCTTCTTTGGCATCTTTCTCGTTTTGTCGCTTTTCAAGACAACTGATCAGCAAATATTTACGACTGAAATATTAAAGAGGAAACCACAAAATGAAACCATTCACAGTAGTTGGGATCATTTCCGGTCATATCCAGCGCTTGCGTTTCAAAATAAGAGTTTCGACCGTAAATTTCTACTAGAAGGGTGAACTTTTCTGTTTATAATAATAATAATAATAATAATTATTATTATTATTATTATTACGACAATTTTTTTGGTGGTGTAATTTTAACACTTTTTAATTATCATGCTTTCAGGTTAAAATGTGTATTTATTTATTTATTTATTAAATTTTTTGTGAAAGTGTATATTTTAGGGCCAGTTTCTCACCATATTTAATATTTTGCCTTTACTACTCATTTTCAAGGTATAAAGTTTCTGTATAAAAGCTAAATATAAAGAAAGCCCTATAACCTATACAATTGGAGACCTATATAAAAATGGCGTATAGTATGTCACCACAGGACATTAATTTCCCCTTGTATTTCATGTCAACTACGCGTATGTTTACTAGAATAAACACGTACAACCCCTTAACAATATTAAACACAGTTTAATGTAAGACCTTTAGATGGTGCTGTTGATACGCAACCCAGTTAGTGAAGTGGCCATATCTGTACATGTTCTGTAAATTCAAAGACTTCAATTAATGTTTATGTTTACAAAGCTTTTTTCCTGTCCAGTTATAAATCCACTCACATGCTTTTTATGTTATCTGAGAAGTACTTTTTTGATTTATTTTTTATTTAACAGGCCAACATTAAGAATAACATTAAAATGACAGTGGCACCTGGCCTCAAATGTCATTCTAAATACAAAAACAATAAATCATCTTTACATTTAAAAATGATTAAGTTTAAAAACAATAAATACAAAGAGTAATAAGTGCAAAGCAGACTCAGAACAGAGCATATAATGAACGCACCGCAAAGGCCTAGAACAGTATTTATATAGGATTAGAATGAACGTCTATAGTTTGGGTCAAATTGAAACTTGGAAACCTATGGGATTTCAGTCTGAAGATAAATGCTTACATTAATGTCAATAATTAATTTATTGACTAGGCAACTTATTTCTGAATCTCCAACACAGGCCAAAACAGATGTTTACTTAGGTTATTGGTCATGAATAAACAACGGCAGCCTGCACTCTAAGATTTCCGAAATTATAAATGTACAAGGGTTTAATGAAATGCTAATTTACTGCGAGTAAATTAGGGAGGCACCATTCTCTGCCATGCCTGCTTTTTTGTAACATCTTTCCTTTTTTTCCATTAATCATGGAATACATTTGCACCAAACATTCACAAAATGTCAATCTACTTTAAATAGCAGGTAGTATAATTTAAAAATGCATTTCATCATTTGACCTGATGCTTTTGGGTGTAAACATTTAAAACTGCTTTTGATGTCCCTCCTCAGCCCCTCTATTTTCCTTCCATTGCCTGACTGAGAATGCATTAACCCAGATTCTTCCAAAGGCCAAATGTTGCTTTTAACAGCTAGCATCATGGGAATTAAGAGCAGGATGTTTTATTTACATCAGAGAGCAGCAGAAGTGGAAAATAAGATGAAACCGTTGTAGCCTACACTGTGTGCACCCATTCCCTGAAACTTTAAACATGGTAAATACAGTACAAGTATACACAAATATTCTTCCCATTCTTCCATTGAAGTGTATTGCTTTGCATAACCCTTATACAGTATAATGCAAGTTGTGCAGTAGAATCTATTAAAAGCAACAAGTGCAATGGCGATGGCAACCTTGAAAAGGCTGAAACGAGGGTGCATTTGTAAATATAACTGCACAGCTAATTAATGCTTTTGGTTCATGTGAAACTGTGAGCTTGATATAGCCAATAACAGATGGTAAAGGGGCTGGAAACATACAGTACACATTGCTTGGCAGTTGTAACTCCACAGGCTGCCTACAACCCCCGTTAGTCAGTATTACTAGACTAAATGATTTTCCTCTAAACAGGGAGCCAAAAGGTACCATTCATTTTCAAGATTTTGAGTGTTATGAAATAGCTTTAGTCAATCCATGTTCAGGTACAACACTCCATCTGATGCTACTTTACAATCACAATCATGTTGCTTAGAACCAAAGCCAATAACAAATTGCACTTTTCACTTATCTGGACAAGAATTAATTTGCTTTTATTTTCTGGCTCATTTTTCATTCTGTGAAAAATATTAGTTTTAGTCATGTTGAAGAATTAAAACAAAAATCTCCTTTTCACATAAGTGTAGGTTTAATTAGCTACGCATAGTGAGAAATAGCAGTGTAATTTATGCTTATTTTGACATTTATTCACAATAGTGTCTTGCACAGAATTTTAGTGGATTTTGCCTTTTCAAGACTGAAAACTATACATTAAACTATCCATTTAACATATGCAAGGTTGCAGAAGCAAATAACAACAGTAGCTTGATGTACTGCAAATACAGGTAGTGCTAGTCCTATATTATATTGTGACATGTCTAATAAGTGAGGCACAGGATGAGTTAAAAGTGAGACATTTTTTGTTCTGTATTAAATAGCAGCTTAACCTGATTTCCTGGTGTGGATATGTAGGTTATGTAGGTCTCTCTTTTTTTCTTCTTCTTCTGTTTTATCCAGGCTACAGACAGACAGATGGTTCTCAGCAAGATGTGAGCATGCTATCCATGTACACACATGAGTGTGTGTGTGTGTATATATATATACAGTGGGTACGGAAAGTATTCAGACCCCCTTAAATTTTTCACTCTTTGTTATATTGCAGCCATTTGCTAAAATCATTTAAGTTCATTTTTTTCCCTCATTAATTTACACACAGCACCCCATATTGACAGAAAAACACAGCATTGTTGACATTTTTGCAGATTTATTAAAAAAGAAAAACTGAAATATCACATGGTCCTAAGTATTCAGACCCTTTGCTCAGTATTTAGTAGAAGCACCCTTTTGATCTAATACAGCCATGAGTCTTTTTGGGAAAGAGGCAACAAGTTTTTCACACCTGGATTTGGGAATCCTCTGCCATTCCTCCTTGCAGAGCCTCTCCAGTTCTGGCAGGTTGGATGGTAAACGTTGGTGGACAGCAATTTTTAGGAATCACACACAGCTGGACTCAAATGAAGGTGTGGAACCATCTCAAGGATGATCAGAAGAAATGGACAGCACCTGAGTTAAATATATGAGTGTCACAGCAAAGGGTCTGAATACTTAGGACCATGTGATATTTCAGTTTTTCTTTTTTAATAAATCTGCAAAAATGTCAACAATTCTGTGTTTTTCTGTCAATATGGGGTGCTGTGTGTACATTAATGAGGAAAAAAAATTAACTTAAATGATTTTAGCAAATGGCTGCAATATTGTTAAGAGTGAAAATTTTAAGGGGGTCTGAATACTTTCCGTACCCACTGTATATGTATTATATACACATTCTGTATACATACTGTATATGTGTATAATTAACAATAATAATAACAATAATAATAATAATAATTATTATTATTATTGTTATAAATATCCTTTAAATATCCCCATCGAAGAAGTGAAGTACGTATTAACAACGTAAGCTCACTACCCAAGAGAAACTCAGGGGTTAATGGAGAGCGGTGAGTTGAGTTTGTCCAGCCTCTGGAGAGTCTGCGAGAACAGTCCCGTCTGAATGAAGGTTACAGACACTCAGAGACAGAGAAGGGGGAAGCCAAACACATCCTGACTGACAGAGAACGATCTGTGAAGAACAAAAAAAATCCTAACGCTAGGTACAGATTGGTAAGTGTCACATGACGTTGACTTTCATTCAAAAAACCATTGCGTTTTAACAGTTAGGTTAGACACTGGAGAAGGCTTTGTGTGACACGTAGCTTGATGGCAAGGTGCCCTTTTTCTCCGTGCTAAGAGTTCCTATGGATACAAGGAGTCGTCTGTTAAGTTTCACAGCTGAAAAGTTTCAGTGAAAGACGTTTGTAAATAAGAGGTAGGGGTTTATTCAGTCCAGTTATGTTTTAGAGATAACGTCCTAGTATGCTTTACGTTCAAAAATGAGCGGTCGATGAGCACCTGTCAAAACGTGTCCCTTTAGGCTGTTTACGTTTAAAGGACCGTAATCGTGTAAACATATGTCGTTTCATCAGTATAACGTTAGACCCCGAGCTTCAGACTTCAGACTTCAGAACGCCCCTTCTAACAAAATTACCATGGTAACCTGGGTTTCCGCAAAAATACCATAGTTACTACAGTTATTGTTGATACATTTACATTTAGTTATTTTCAATTTATTTTGCTTTTATCCAAAATGACTTACGAATGAGGACAAAATATAAATGATTATGTCCTTCAAACAATGTAAGTATATTTCTCTTGTTGCAGAATTGTCCTTTTAACACTGCAATTATGTCTGTGTATTATTCAGTGCATTGCAGTATTACTGTAACATTGTAATATGATTTATATGTATGTGTGTGTGTGTGCGCGCGCGTTTTTTGTGACAAATGAGGACATAAATGTATAATGACAAAGGTATAACATAGGTATTACAAGGAGAAGGTGACTTTTCAGGACATTACCCCATGTCCCCACTTTTCAAAACGCTTATAAATCACACAGAATGGAGTGTACTGAAAATCTGAAATAGCACAAAGTTTCCTGTGAGGGGTAGGTTTAGGGGTAGGGTTGGTGTAGGGCAATAGAATATACGGTCTGTACAGTATAAAAACCATTACGCCTATGGGATGTCCCCACTTTTCACAAAAACAAACCTGTGTGTGTGTGTGTGTGTGTGTGTGTTTGTGTGTGTGTTTAACTAACAGTCATTGAAAACCCCATATTGGTTTAAATGACCACTACCAAAACTAAAATAATACTAAAATAAGTGAGCAAAGTTCCTCTGTTTCACTCATTTTACCACATCTCACAGAAATAGAAGACACACAATATTTCCTTCATAAAGCAGTATAAATGTTTTTCTCTTAATAAGGTTAAGATGTATTTCTTCACCCAGCTAAGATTGTTCCAGCATTGTAAGGCTTGTGCAGGCAGTTAATGCACACAGTATAGCATTGAATATGAGTGCAGCAGATGTAAGGAGGTTATTAGTTTTGGTGCTCAGTGTTGCATTGAGACTATAATGTAATATTTGATCTCAAAGCTTGTTTCGAATGGCCTGTATAAGATGATTTTATATGAGCTATTTTTGTGTTCTGTGCCTTGATTTGCAACATTTGTGTCTTTTCCAAGTTACTGATAACAAGATCAGAGGAAGATAGACTACTTGTTAACCATACCCCCTTTTTTATTTTAAAGCTTTAATGTTTTTGATTTTCTGCTTATTTATTCATTGCCTGAGCTCCCATAACAAGAAACATTTTATTGTTTGAAACATTCTGTAGCTAAATCAGTAGAACCGAACTCTACAACCCTTAAATATAAATATAGAATCCTTCAGACTGCTTCTAACATAATTTGACTAATGCAGTTTGACCTCGGTTCAGGATATCGATGCACTTGCAGTGCTAGCAGAGGAACAGTGCATTGTGCCATCCTTACACAGGTTCAGGGAGAAAATCGTTCTCATGAAAGTCAAGTGCGAGAGCTTTCTGCATGGAGAGTGTGTGGTCAGTGATTTTCCCCTCATCTCTCAGTGGCTCAATCAAGATTGCTGGACTCATGACACTGTTATCTTCAAATGCAGTCTGACCTTGTTGTTGTTTGTGCCCGCAGTTGCTGCTTTGAACTACAGAAGGTGTGAGGGAGAACAGGCCTGGAGATAAGCACAGCGGTTACTAGGAGAAGGTGAATGTCTTGTGTCACAAAGAGTGCCATCAGCAGACTGTGACACTGAAAAATGTATTATTTACGGCTTCCACTTATTGTCTGATACGCTCAGCGCATTTTCATTCATTTCACGTTTACTGGATTTTGATCTATCCTTTTTGTCACTTTGACAAAATTGGCACCCAATAATGCATCAATAATCACGGCCAGTGCTTTGTAGATCCTGTCGTCATCTACCAGAACATCTTCTACTAGAATGACTTCTACCAGAAAAGCTACCAGAGCATGAAACGCTAAAATCAACCAGGACTAAGTTTATTCTTCTCTTTTAATTCTACCAAACTCTCTCATCTCTGCTGTCAAGACAACTAGAGCAAGGCATCTCCTTTAAGAGTCACTCAGCGCTAACAAGACAGACGCAGGGAGGGAGTAAAAAGAAGAAGAAAAGAGGGAGGGAGGGTGGGTGGAGAGCCGGAGAGATTTGGCGCTCAAGTGTGAGTGAGAGAGAGCACGCAGAACACAACGTGCAAGTGTCTCATCTAACCATTGGCACTTTGATGCATTTCAAAGCCTCGCACCTCGCACCTCGCACTGAAGAATCTGACAGAACGCGGTTAGCATCTGAGACTTGTACTCGAGCAGACGGCTGAACGAATGGGCTTTTATTTGAGGAGCAGCAGTTCAGAAGGACTCGTCTGAGGCAGCTGTAATTGAGGATGAATTTCTGAGAGACCTGCTGGGTTAGAAGAATCCAAATAGTGACTTAAGATCTTACAACTGTCCAGAAAGCCAAAAAGGAGAGGGAAATTCATAATGGATGAATGTCCTTGTATTTGCTGGCAGTGCTGATCTGTTTCTCAGTTTGTGGGTGCATTTGGGTCTCTGAGATTCTGCTTTAAGAGAACAAGTTTGTAAGGAGTTCTGGTACAGGTCAGTTCCACGCTGGACCACACAAACTATCTGCAGGAGGTTTGGAGAGCATGGGGAAATCAAACAGCAAGCTCAAACCTGAGGTGGTGGAGGAACTAACCAGGAAGACCTACTGTAAGTACTTTCTGAGTACACTTTTAAGAATAAAGGTTCCATTGAAGAACCATTAAAGAGCCACTTTGGGTTCCTCAAAGAACCTTTCATGGAACACTTCCTAAAAGAACCATTTTTTCTCAGTGTGAAGAACTTTTAATAATCTAAAGATCAGTTTTCTACTAGAGAAACTTTTGTGCAAAAGAAACATTCAGTGGATGTTACAGGTTCTTCATGGAACCATAAAAGAATATTTATTTTTAAGGATGCATGACATGTGATAAATGCTGTTTCATACCCATGTTTTTCAATAGTGTTCATTTTTTCTTTCTTACTATGATCTCACTGATGTTTTTCCAGCCTTTGAGTAAAAAGGCCATAGTGGCTATTAAAACCTCATTTTTAATTTATCTGTTATCCTCTTGGGTCCAGCACATGCACTAATTAATAGACTAGAAATATGAGATAATTTGTTTGAAAGCAACATTGTTAAACCGCATTCAAGATCCTGTGGCTCATACCACATATATTTTGTCACAAGAAATCACAATTCTTGTGGCATCAAAAATTGTGATTAGCAGAAGCCTGGAAGTGGGCCTAATCAACATGTTTTAAAAGCCCTCCAATTGGGACTCAAGCTTTATGAATATGCAAATTGGTCGGTCTTGAGATCTGCAATCAGGCTGGTGGTTGCCCAGAGATATATCTGAAAGTGGCTTGCTCTCTGCCAGTGAAGCAGATTGGGTTTCCATGGATGCATAGACTATATATGTAAACACATTGAGCTAGATCTCGATTCTAAAACTAGTGCAGTGAAATGACAACAGCATTGGAAATGCTCAGGACACAATTCACTGTAGGCCTTCTTTGCATTCTCCATTAGTTTGCAGTCTCTTTATATAGAAATGAATTGTTGTTCATATATTAACCAAATCTTAGAAACTGTTGCCATCCAGCTTATCAACAAATAGTTGATAAGCTCTTTTCAAATGCAAATATATGGTAGTCCTGTGTGTTTAATTATTATATATTTTTTTTCCAGAAATATGGTAAAAAATTGCGCCTGTAGCACTTATTTTATAGTGACTCAAGCTACGATCAAGTGTTACACATTTAGTTTTTTGGTTAATTAAGTGCATCATCTGGGTATTTGAATTTTTTACATTTTCAAATTGAAGACACACAATGGCATAGAACAGTACAAAAGTACAAGAATTAGGATGCACCTACAAATAGAGTTTTAGAATTCTACATAGTTTTTACAAAGATTTACAGCAAAATGAATCTGTGTAACATTATACAACTCTATATTAGGTTACACTTTCTGAACCGACTAAGAACAAATAGCAAATACCTAAACTGACCATCCGTTTATTAAAGATGATTTAGGAAGCCTAATATAAAACAGATCTTTTTTTCATCAAACTTATGAAAAGAAGCCAAGACACTGTGAGTAAATAGTGTCTGTGTTAATAAGCAGTGAGCATGGTAAAGTAGGCAGCGCTGGTTTGAAGTCATGCAGATATAGAATGGGAAGTGACAGCCAATGGCTTCCTAATAATGGTGTCTGCTGTGTGTTGGGCTCAGTGGTGGGCGCCACATGGAAAGGGAGCTGGGCAGGAAATTGCAGCATGCTGGGAAATGTGCCTCCGTGCTGGGATGGACTCCACGGCCCTCACATTCTTCCTCTCTTTCTTTCTTTCTTTCTTTCTTTCTTTCTTTCTTTCTTTCTTTCTTTCTTTCTTTCTTTCTTTCTTTCTTTCTCTCTCTCTGAGTCTCTCTCTGCCATTTAATTGCCTCTCTGTGAGCATAGAATGGAATACTGTAATTAAAGCCGTATCAGCTCTGCCTTGCAATGAAGGACATTGCATTTCTCTTTCTATCCATGATGTATCCTTCTTACCTACCCCTCTCTCTCCTCAGCAGTCCCTTATCTTTACCCTCCTTTGTTATTTTTTCCCTCCTCATCCCCATTTGTAACCTTTATCGGTTTCTCATTCTTTTGTTCCTGTACATTTTTCAAGCCTCTATTAGCTCGAGCCCATAGCTAGAAATTATGTTTTTAATCAGGAATAAGTCGTCAATTGTGTATTTTTAGGTTTGCTTTAGCTCTTGTCTGGGACTACTGTAAGAAAGGGAAGTAAATGCTACACCTAAAATACATTTGTTTTTGCAATGTAGGATGACCAGGAAGGAACAGTTTTTTATAGAGACAAGCAGTTTATCATTAGAGATTTTCACACTTTTGTACTTACTTATAGGAACCCTTCTATTTAACTAGAAGTCTTTAGATTTTAATAATATTGTATTTGATTTTCAAAATGATCTATCATAAAATGTCTTTGAAGTCACAGTTTAGTCTGAATATAAATTTTGATTCACCATAATTTATCAATTTAAACTTGTAGTAAGGAGTACGTACAAATATGGTATGTAAAACATGTTAAAAATGGTTGAAATCATAAGCGCAAGATTCTTTTCGAAATGAACAGCTGGCCTCTGTCTCTCTCTCTCTCTCCACTGCCATCCCAGATGCAACCGACTAATTCAATCTACACTTTCAGCCATTTCATGTCTGCATTTTTCATATGTTTATGGCAATTAAAGGACAGCTTAACTTGTTTTACAGCTGTGGAGGCTTGCTGCTGCAAGTGTTTATTTCTCATGAGTGGGCTACATGATTGAGTTTTTTGCGTGGTGAAGAGCAAAGGGAAGCATGCATGAATACAGACTAGATTTGAATGTAGGCAGAAGATTTTTCGTTCTGCCAAGAAGGCCTTGATCAAAAGTTTATCAATCAGAACACTGGCTCGCCTATTCAGTGTGGTGAAACAGATTTTCCATGGCATTTAACTACAAATATGAGGCACTTCTCTTTTGTTGGGTTATGTAACACTGGCATTTTCATAGCAATCATTAGATTATTTAATGGAGGACATATCCCTCGGTATTGATCGAATGTAAGCTACTGTAGCAGCTCTGTGGAGAATTGTAGCCTCAAAGAACTACAGCACTGGGCATTAGAGGCCTGAATGATTTAATGAGGCAAATTTAAACAAAGGCCTATATCACTGCCTGTTCAATGCCAGCTCACATCGCACTAAAGTGCTGCATGTTAGTCTCCAATGGTGCTTTCTTTAGAGAGCTCACTATGCGCTTAGAGCAGTGGAGCAACTGCCCCATTAAAGTTTTGCCCTTTCAGTTAGCAGATTTGCATACAATTGACATTTTAGGCTCCCTTTAGAGTGTTAGTAGCTATATAGTCCAAATGAAATATTAGGGTGTGAACTCTTTAAGGACTAATGCACCAAAGAATGAACATTCTGTCATCATTTACTCACCCTCATGCCCTTGTATGACTTTTTCTTCTTCTGTTGAACTTAAGACATTTTTAATCATACACTAGTCAAACTTTTCCAAGCATTTACAATAGAAATAGTGTTTTCAAGACTTCAAAAAGACACAAAAGCACCATAAATCTATTATAAAATTAGTGTATACTTGTTATCAGGTTTATTGAAGTCAAAAGATTTCTGATTAAGACTATTTGTTTGAACTGGATTAAGTGCTTCATCTAAAAATCTAACTGAATTTGTTCTTGTCGACTACTTTTACAATGGTTTTATTGTGGGTTTTTGTTTTTTTGCCAATTTGGAGCTTAATAGCCCCTCTTCCTCATTCTCTTTCATTATTTTGGAAAGGGTGGTGGTCACCTTTTATGTTCCATTGCAGTAAATCAGTAAATCACACAGGTTTGCAAAGTATTTCCATTGTTTGTGTGATCTGTGCCTTTAATTGCTCACAGCCATTGTGCTGTGACAGTGTGTCTGAAGGGGCCAGTCATTTCCTTCTCCGTCACGCTTTCCTAAATCTCTTTTACCAGAGCTTGAAATACAAACTCTTTGTTTACCCCCATTAGAACAGTCCGCCTCAACAATGATTTCCTGTGACTTTGCAAGGAGGCATCTGAAAAGATCTTGCTACTGTATGGTTTCCAAATGATTAGTGGTCTTAGTACAAAGAGAGCTTGGCTGCAGAGTCATTCATAGAATGAGAAGGAGGGTTGTTTGAGTCATTTTGGTATAAAAAAAAGCCAGCATGAATTCACCCAATTTCCTCTCAGCAGACCATTTAGAAAATGTGTAACGTATTAGACATACAAATGTTTAATAGTGACAAAGGAGAGTCTGCACACACTGACTGTGTCAGAAACCTGAAAAATGTTGACTTCTCAGGGAGAATACAAAGGTAGGAAGGCATCAAGGCATGTTTGAGTCCAATGTTTGCATAACATCCTACAAAGATGCCTCCATCTGGTCGATTTTCTGAGGGCAGCATGAATGCATCATTTGTTGCCTACAAGCAGTCCCTGCAGGATTTCGCCGAGCTTATTTCTAATCATGGCTGCCCAAAATTATGGATTTGGCTGTGGCTTTTCTAAAGAATTGCAATGCTATTATTTGCTGCTGTTTTTGTGTTGTTTTGCAACAAAAACTCACAAATAATCATTATTTAATTATGAAAATGAGTTTAGTTTGTTACCTTCATAAACATATCTGAGTTAGGCAGCACTATTGGCATAAAGCAAATAATGGCACACTACAATCTACATTAAAACACATAACAAATTAGTTGGAGATGTCTGTAAAGTCCGTTCTCAGAATTTTGATTGATCTAAAATGAATAAGCACAGTTATTTCAATAGTGTGCCCTTCGCCAACAGCTACCAAGATGCTCTTGGTGCATGTGTCTTAACTTTTTAGGTCCCACAAGCAATTCAAGTGATCCGAAAACAATGCTAAATCGTTAGGCTGTGGTGTCAGTGTTGGTGCTTTCATATTTACCCGCATATGCTACCTATATATGCCATTTTCAGTGAAATCCAGTGTTTATTTGTTCATGAAGAAGCATAAAAGGACTCTAAGATCCCGGAAATCCAGTAGGAGTCAGCCAATCGAATTTAGAACTAAGCTTTGTTCTGTACTTTACATTTTAGCCAATATTAGGTCATCCAATTGTTCTTACATATTGTTCACAGTATATATCTAAGAGTAGTGTGCTATTTGAATAGCCAATAATGTTTAATAACTCTGCCTTCTTTCCAGATGCTAGGTGTCCAAATCTCTTTACTTTGTCTGTCTTAATCTCTCTTTTTCTCTTCATCTTTTCCTCACAAATGGAGCACAACATTCCCAAAGGAAATTTTAGTGAGACAGGATGAAGGTAGACAGACACTGCCCACTCAAATCTTCAAAAGCTTTTCTTGCTTCCGTGATGGGCTTGAGCTCCTAACTGCACAAACAGCCATATTTCACCAATGATGATTATCAACAAATGATGAATTCTCTAACCAATCAAACTGCAACTAGTCAAACATGGCAGAGGAAGTTGATGTAAATTGTTATTTACATGCAGATTTCCAGGTTCAGCAGATGTAAACTAAATCCATGCTGTGCTGTATTTGACATCCTGTGTCTGGCTAGGAGTAGTGGGTCGTTTTCGGTCATTGTTTTTAAGCTTCTAGCGTACTGCTGTTTCCCAGCAACAACATAACTGTGCTATCCCAGCATTATGGTTGTGTGGGTACAGATTCATGTTGCCTTCTGCTTATAATGCTTTACCTAGAATGGCATCTGTTGCATGAGGAAATATGTATTTTTTGACAAATAAAAGCAAAATCCTTGCTCTGTTTATGAGGTGGCCCACGTCTGTACCCAATCAGTCAAATACACTTGCCTGGATGCCCAGGGAGAACAGGAAGCCACACCAGGAAGATTATGCTAATTGAAAACATAAATTATTTTTAGCTTGTTACAGATTGTAAGAAACTTTGTTGAAAAAATCGATAAATAAGAGCTATAAGGTGTTTTGTGTATACTTGGGCTGTTGATTTAATATATTAATTATTTAGTTATATTCATTATTTCATTATTTAGAATTTAGTAGATTAGGCACCTATTGTATCCATTAGTTTTCTTCTTCTTCTTCTTCTTCTTCTTCTTCTTCTTCTTCTTCTTCTTCTTCTTCTTCTTCCACTCTGGAAGTCTATGGCAGCCCATAGAACCACTTGCAGGAAAGTTATGAAATGTGGTACACAGATAGAGGAAAGTCTCAATATTAACCATAGCAAATTTGGAGTCTTTATCTCAAACTCTCTAGCGCCACCAATATGCCAAATTTGCACTCATATTTCTGCTAATAACTTTTGAACTGTAAGGTCTAGAAGAAAAATTCCTTGGCTCATGCTGAGTCGAATGCATCCCAAAATGTACATTTCGGTCACGACTTTTGCCATTGTGAATTTGGGAAAAATCAACTTTTTTTGTATTCATCCTAGACAGTTTGTCTGGTTTTCACCAAAATTGGCTCAGATCATCTTCAGAGCATTCTGGCAAAAAGTTATCAAAAGCTTTTTGATATACCAAACCTTTTTCATACAGCGTGTTAACGAATTTGACAATTTTTTGGACTTATGTCCAAATAGACATAAGGTTATATCTCCGCAACGCTTTAGCGAATTGTGACCAAACTTAGTATGTGTTATAACAAGCATAACCTGAGGGCGTATGAGTAGTTTCGGCACAGTGCCACTTACTGGTCAAAAGATGTAAAAAATGGCCTTTCTGCTTATAACTTCTGACCAGTTTTGGCTCATTAGATTCGGAATGGCATACAAAATCAAACGATAAGTAATTGTCCTACGTCAGCCTTTTTGGGCGTTGACCATTTTGAGTTTTGTAGTAAAATTTTGTATCACAAAAAAAAAAATTCTTTAACAGGGGTCTCCAACCCCACTCCTGGAGAGCTACCATACTGCAGAGATCAGCTTCAACCCTAATAAACACACCTAAACCAGCTAATCAATGTTTTCAGGGCTACTTATTTACAGACAGGTGTGTTAAAGCAGGGTTAGAACTTAATGCTGCGTTCAAGTCCTCCTGGGACGTTCGTACTTACGAGCTAATAAGTTGTGTTTGGGACGTCAGGTGCGTTCAAGTCACTTTCGTCGGCACAAGATGGCGGAGTACCTTCTTTTAATCAATTACACACAAAAAACAGCAAAGAATGCGCATCAGGTGTGTTTAAATTAAATTAATTTATGAAGCCACTTTAAATGTATATAAAACTTGTTATTAATTGTTATATTACAATCTTGTTATATTTCATTCAAACAGCTTTTTTTGTAAATAAAAAAGCCTGACAATGTCACTGCTTACTACCTATAAGTATTGTGGAATATCGTTGCATCCATCGATTCCGTCATGTTTCTAATTTACACACCCCCAACTCGTACAGATCATTGCTTAAAGAAAATCCCGAACTCCCCACTGGTGATTATGACTTTGTGGTGGTGTTCGTGTGCATTTAGCTCGTAAATACGATCTGACATAGCTCTTCAGAAGCAGGGTTGGAGAACATTGGACTTTACTGAGTAATTAAAGACAGCTCCTTAGCTCTTCATTTTATTATTATTATTGATTAAATTAACATTCAACATTTAACATTCAAAAAAATAACAATGCCCTCTGACTCCATACATATTCCTTATTATTATTTAAAAATATTATGTATGCTTATTAACTGGTCTACATACAATGATTGATTTGATTAATTAACCAGCATATCATGTAATTAGATAGCATTTCTGATCAATTGATTTCCCTAGTATGTTCCAAATAAGATGCTGTATCCATTCATATTTTCATTTAAAATTGCAATACCGCAGTTTTCCATCTACCCATATAAATCTCAAGTAGTTTTCCTCATAGGAATGGATTCACAGCCTTGCTCTTCAAGTTTGTTTGAGGAGGGACTCTTGGGGACCCAATTGTAAATGCTGCCTCTCAGAATGCAGAGATGAGAGTAATATGATATGATGTCAGAGGATTTGTTGTTTAGCATTTGTAAATCACAAGCCTACATACTCCACCAAATGTTGTTGACCAACAAACCACAGCCTACTCATTGTCTTCTGGCTCTCACTTCTGTGCTTGCATTGTTTTTTGTTAGCCCTGTTACTTCGTATGAAGTAACCCCTTGTAGCTCCAGAGATGATAGATGATAGATGTGTTAGCTAAGTGTTAAATTAATGTCAGTGACCTACAATTGAGATCGTAAAAAGTGTTAGTAGTGTGCATTTTAGAAGACTGAATCACAACAGGCAATCAGTCTGTTATGATAATGTAGCACAGGCTGCCAGACAAATTTATGTTTTATATTTTGTTTCATCTTTAATTCAAAAGTTTATTAATTGTGTTTCTCTCTACAGTTACAGAGAAAGAAGTTCAGCAATGGTAAGTTATCTATCTATCTATCTATCTATCTATCTATCTATCTATCTATCTATCTATCTATCTATCTATCTATCTATCTATCTATCTATCTATCTATCTATACACATACTCCTCTGCTCTGTGTTTATCCTCCTCCTCTTATCCCTCTGTTGTCTGTTTTGGCACACTGGGCACATCATGCTTTTATACCTCCATCTGCTTTGGCCACTCAACACAGCATCATTTTACATTTCCTCATCATTTTGTAGTTGTGCTTCCCAGGGGAAAAATCTCAGTGTCTACCCTTGAAACACACACATTTGACAGTAATGTTACAGTCCATCTCTCCATTCATGTGCCCAAATATCAGCGAGCAGGAGTGTGTAGTTTGGCACACCTCACTTAACGTCAGTCTCTCACAGAGTCCAAGCGCTGACACCTTAGCTGGCATGCCCAAGGTCAGTCCAGTCCTGGCACTGTGTGTCCCTGGGTGTTTGCCAGGCTAAATTGTTGACTCATTTCTGCAGCTGCTGGTAGATATAAAACCAGTGAGGAAGGACAAGGATGTGGTGCTGCAGTGGGACGGGAGCTATAGATGCCTTTTGAATTCACTCCGCCTCGCAGTCCTGTATTGTTGCTTCTTAAGTATCCATCATTCCTTTGAGGATCCTTCCTGTGGATAAATGATGTCATTAAAAAAAAAAAAGCTGCTTTTTTTCATGGTTTTAGCCACAGTGCTTTTGTGGTGCACAAATGTCAGAAGTCTGAGTGCAATTAAACTTAAGTATTATCGTACTTGCAATTTATATACAGAAGGGGTCAGTAAGTCTCTTATGCTTGACAAGTCTGCTCTAATTTGGTCAAAATAATTGAAATATTATGAAATATTATTAGAATTTAAAGTAATATTTTCTATTGTAATATATTATAAAAGTCCCGTGACGGCAAAGCTGAATTTTCAGCAGCCATTATTCCAGTCTTCAGTGTCACTTGACCCTTAAGAAAGCATTCTAATGCTGATGTGCTGCTCTAGAAACATTTCTTATTATTATAAGTGCTGCTTAGTATTCTTTTGGAAACAAAATAGAATGTTCAACAGAACAGTTTATTTATTTTTTTGGAAATAGAAATCTTTTGCAACATTATGAATGTGTTTACAGTTGCTTTTGAACAATTTAATGCCTGCTTGCTGAATAAAAGTGTTCATTTCTTTAAAAGAATGTACTTATCCCAAGCCTTTAAATGGTGTAAATAGGTTATTCTGAATAAGAACTGTGGGATGGGATCATTGGAAATTAATAATTGCAAAATAACATTTTGGCATGAAACATGTGTTTTTAATGTTTAAATAGTAATAGTAATAGAACATGTATATATTTGTAATAAGAATTTCTGTCTGTCAAAAAGTAATAAGTACAAGTTACTTGTAACTATAGATTATACAGTTGTGCTCATGGATATCTTCTTTCTTAAAACCACTGTTGCCTTCTTAACATAACTTAATTTCCTAGTTTATTGACATAAATGGTGTGTGTTTACTTCCAGGAGTTGCATAAAGTCAGTTATCGCAGTTATCGTCAGTTATTTTCCTTGTTCATCAGATGGTCAGTGAATGGACTGTGGTGGCATATCTGAGGCTGAGAGTAATATTCTTGGATCTTTTTTGAGTGGTTGTGATTTTAATCTTTGTTATTCAATCTCAGAGCTGAAATGTAATGAAACTGGCATGAACATCTTCCTCCCTGATCTCAAACTGAGTTACAGAACTATTACATTAGCCTGACAGAATTGCATTCTCTTTCATATAGGCTACAGAGTTCATTGTCCTCTTATCCTAGACATTCTGTCGCTGATAATACATACAGAAATGAAATCCCCAGCATTGACCAAGAGTTCCACTCGCTATATGCATATAAATGACTGTTTTTATATGCACTGATGGGCATTGATCAGCCAACTACTTTGCATTGCGGTTAACAGCCCCGGGAGCAACAATTAAACATCTGAGCGATTAATTTAGTCATTTGTCTTTCCCTGCAGGAGCTAATGGACTCATGTGCTCTGGACACCATAATGAAAGTCTGTATTTGAATATACTGCAATTTACGGAAGTGCTCGTTAATGGAGGGCACAGCTGAAGTGCCATAAGGTGGCGAGGCTTTTGTCAGCAGTCTTGCTAAACAAAAAGTCACATTTTTAAGTCACATTTCATTCATCTTCCCCTCCTGTGAAATGTTAAAAGCTGCAAGTGGATAATTGAGTCAGTGAGTTGAACTCAATAATAAGCCAGTTAGCTCAATATGTGAACAAATCATTCCGTTGATTCATTCAAAAGAGTCAACTCACTTCAGTATTCAGTCATCTGTTTTACTCAGATGTACAGAAGATGCGTCGCTACTTCTACTTCATTGCAAATTTAAAATGTGATTCTTTGATAGCAATATTGTTCCAGGGTAAACAGGGATGTTGATGCTAGAATGTCGTACTTGGGTAAATCATATTTGGCATACAACACCACAAACGAGCACGTAACTACAACAATATTACACTGTTATCATATAAAGCACTGCTTAAATCACTGCCTCGACAACCCTCTACGCACACCTTGGCAATATAATCGCCATTGGCTAGTAATTTTTTTTGTTTACTCACCAGACTGATATACAGTGGGGCAAAAAAGTATTTAGTCAGCCACCAATTGTGCAAGTTCTCCCACTTAAAAAGATGAGAGAGGCCTGTAATTTTCATTTCACACACACACTAAATGGGGACATTACATTACATAGACTTCTATTGTTTTTATATACAGATAGTTATACACTTTTTAACCTAAACCCAGCCTTACCCCTCACAGAAAACTTTCTTCATTTGTACAATTTGTTACAAACGAGTAACTGCCAGTTAACACAAAAGCATTGAGATTCCTTTAACGTTTCCCTTTCCATTAAGAGAGGTTCAGAAGTGATGACGGTCAAATGAGCAGCTGTGTGAGGAATGACAACATATTTTATTCAGGAACAAATGGCCAACTCTGTTGAAGAGACTAGCATATGTTTTGTTTTGGGTCCTGGTATCACTACCATGCTTTCTTAAAGGCATAGTTCACTCAAAAATAAAAATGATGTATATATATATTATTTGCTCAGCCTCATGTGGTTGCAAACCCCCAAAAATTATATTTTGAAGAATGTTTTAACTGGTTTTGTCCGTATATTAAAAGCTAGTGGGACATAAAACATTCAAATTGTATTTGTTATCAACAAAAGAATAACTAGTCTACATTAAATATAGTGACATAAATCGCCAACATCAACTCACATGAAACCTCATTGGTTCTTGCATGTTACATGGCCAGACTTTCATGTCACCATATTTGGTGTTGCCAGTTAGACCAGCACCAAACCATCAAACCAGCTTGGACCATCAACATTGGTCTTTTCAGCAGGGAAGTGACGTTTAATTACTGATTTTCACTTCAGCGATCCAGACAGACTGAATTGATATTGTAGGCTGACATAGTCGAATATGGAACTTGTATGGACAGTTTAACAGCGTGTAATTAGAGAACGAGGCAGCAGCATTTCTAGAAAGTGCCTTTTTGACACTGCAATGTAAAATGCCTACGCTTCATCATCACATCTCAATGAAAGCTGATATTTAACAGCTTTGATGGGGCAAATTTGTTTTCGTTTGAAATCTGAACATTAAAAATGTAATTCCTTTGAGCTATGCTGCATTTATTCACATCATATTTGAAGTATGAGAGCTTTGTGTTCCTTGCTTTTCAAAAAACAGCAGGCGTTGCTTTGACAACTGTGGCGTGCTCAAATTTAAGCCGCAATCAAGTCGGATTAGCTGAAAACGAAATGCCGTTACCCTTCTCATTTGCTCTGTGCTCACTCTGTGCATGCTTAATGCTGTGGAGAGTTTGAATTCTGTGTGTTGAGAAGTAGAAGTTTTGTTCATAGTTCCCTGATGGGGCGTAACGGTCCCCACCACCACCTACCACCTTTGCCAATGAATGGATAAAGCATGAATCATACTTACAGAGAACATTTTCTCCTTTCTTGAAGCTGTAAAAATAGCCCAATTGATTTGTGAATCATCCGAGTGTGTTTGACTGACTGTTTTTTTCCTGACTGGTGTGGTGTAATGGGGCAATTGCTGAGACATTACACAGCTGGCATTGCTCCGCATGTGGCCAGAGGATGGCGTCATAAAGCTACAGGAGGTTGTACAGACCCCTGACCCTCTGCAAGATACTTGTGTGCATGTGGCAGAAAATATCTTTGAGTGGTTTTATGGCTGTGTACAAAATCTTTATTTGGTACACATAACTTCTGGACTTAAAAAGTCTCATATGCTCAGCCGAACCATTCATAATAGTGAGTAAACTTACTGATCATGGCTGTGTTTAAGACTTGCATATCCTGTGAATGTTTAATTCAGCATTTTTTAAATCTTATTTGAACTTACAGTCTGCATTAAAATGGAAATTTACCTATTCTATTTTCTATTGTCTATCTGTTTTCTAAGGGTGCTTTGACACTAGCACTTTTGGTGCGCACCCGGGTTCGATTGACATCAGAGTTCGGTTCGTTTGGATGATGTGAACGCTGTCTTCCGAACTCGGGTGCAAACCCACGCACTGTACCCGAGTCCACTTAAAATGGGTGGTCTGGGGTACGGTTCAAGTGAACTCCGGTACGGTTCGCTGCTGATGTGAACGCAATAGTACCAAATCACGGAAGTGAACCGCTATTAATGACGTATTATTTAATAAAAATGTGTGTTTGTGTGTTTCACTCACTTTCCTGACGAGCGTGACTGACGCGCTGCAAGCAGAGAGCTGTATATCTCATTTCTATTCGCCTTCAGAGTTCTTTAGAGCATTTGCATAAGGCAGACGTAAGTGCTGTTATGTACTGAAGCTTTGGAAACAAAACCAATGGTTCAAAAGCATAAATATAAAATTGAAGAGAGCAATGCTACGCCTTTTGCCGTCTTCTCCTGCACTACTA